TTTTTTTTCTTTCTTTTAATGTTGGGATTTCATGATCTTGAATTAGCTTGGTGTCACGGAGCAGCTTGTGGTTTCTCCCCCTTGTTTTTGCCAGTACTTTTATCATTAATCAACATTTCTTGGATATCGTTAATCTCAGTGGAGAGCTTGTACTTCTTGTCCTGCTACAGTTCCTTTGTTAGAATGAAAGCGGAGTGCTGGCGGCGACGGGCACAAAACCTCGGGCCGTTCACTGACCGCCTTGGCCGGGAAAAACATTTTCTAGGTTCCGCAGCGGAGTGACCACCGGAGCTTTGATCTTGCCTTGCCTCTACCCTTCCACTAATATTCCAGACACAACTTTCTCAATTCCCTCTACCCTTAACCCCCTGGCCCTGATTCTTGCCTAGGGTCAGTCCCTACGGGCTCTCGTCAATGCTTTCACGCAGTCGGCCATATCTCACGAGGCGCAGATTACCTGCTGTCCTGGACCACGTCGCGACTGCTCCCGATGAGCCACTCCTCTTTCTTTACCCATCCTGGTTTACGTCTCTGCCCGCGCATCGGGGGTCGGCCTTGACAAGAAACCCCGCCCTTAGTTTATCCAGACAATATCATCGCCCTAGCAAACGTGGGCCCAATGCGCCCCGACTCTCCCCGCAGTCCTCGACCGGAAATTATTCGTCTAGACAAATAACCTCTTCTTCCATTGCCGTCGGAAGACGTGGCTTGGACAAGGAAGCTACAAAGCCTGCAGCAAAGCCTCAAGCTTCACGGACGTCGCCTCTCCCTCAACCGACGTCCGACAACACTTCGAGATGGACGCCACCGCGGGTAAGAAGTCTTGCCGCGCTGTCTTCGATCTCGCCCCGCGATAAAAAGAAACTACAATACCGACAATCCGAACTCGACAACACGCGCAAAAACCAACAGAAAACGATAGAGAGACGGTGGAAGGACCAGGCTGCGGTTTACGAGAGGATGCTCCGGATGAATCGAGCAATTCCGGCAAATGCTCCGTTGAAGTCCAACCAGCTGGAGCTATATCTAAGGGAGGAGACGATCGCCGAATTCGCCGGCTTGGTGTCGAGGGGCGAGAACATCTTCTATCGCCATGTGTATCACGGGTGCAAGGTGCATGTTAAGCCGCCTTCGGAAAGCGTCGGGATGTGTCGCCGGGTGATCTTGGAGGGTCGACCGGCGGCCGTGGAGGAGGTCAAGAAAGAACTGCTGGAGATCGGGACCCTGCAAGATGAATATGATCCGGTCGTCGACATGCGTAAACCGGTGGTTCCCATCTACCCTCGGGTTGACCGACGGATACACAAAGACATACCCTTGGTTCGCGGCACGTGGGATATGCCCAAGGATCCCACGGAGTTCACTGTGGATCAGATTATCCGCCAGGGTGAGCTCCTAGCTACTGTGAGGGACTTTACGCACCACGTGGAGGATCTCATTACGTCTTGGCCCAACTCCAGGGAGCAGCCGGGTAAGCACGGTGCGGATGTGGCCGATGCTCTCGAGACGCTTTTCCTGAAAAGCGCCCGCAAAGAATTGACATCAACAGCGTCGTTGAATCAAGCCCTGTCGTTCTTGCTAGAGCGCAAGCAGTATTGGATTGCACACCAGATTTTCCACTCCGCGAAACATGTTGCAACCGTGGAAACCTTCAACATGATGCTCAGGTCGACGGCCCTCGAGCAGAACCTGAAGCGGTTCAGGAACCTCTTGCATGGTATGGAAAATCTGGGCATCCGCGCAGATGTCGAGACCTGGCTTGCTTATGCTGACTGCTTTGTTTCTCCAACCAAGAAGATGGCAGTAGTGAACAGTCTACGGCAGCGAGGGATGCTGCAGGAGACCACGCTGCAGCGGACAGCGTTGCGCGCGGTGTTACACGACTTACTGGTGGAGCATCTCCATAACGGCGGCGACATGAACTCTTTTCTGGAAAAGATAGCCCGGGACTGGGACAGCACGATGTGGAGCCCGAGTATGGTCAACCAGATGATGTGCGCCGTCATGCGAGTGAATCATCTAAAGGCGAGAGATCAGCTGTTCCAATTCTGCAGGCAGAATGGCTTACGTATCGAGCCTTACACTTTCTATCTTCTCGTGGGCACATGCAACAAGGGCAACATCCTTCAGGCCCTGCAATACATGTACCAGACCATGGAGGATCCGGCGCGAGAACTCAACGTCGCCGGCTGGACGCGACTCTTCCTACACGCATGGCACGGCGGATACTACAACATTTGCCGTGTCTTATGGCGGTATGCCTGCATGAGAGGACATGCGGCTTCACGCATTGCCGAGCGAGTCTATGAATCCCTGCTGCACGAAGCTGGCCCGGAGACAACCTTCCGCAGGGCTGTCGCGGCGCGGCTCATCCTCGGAATCGATCTGGGGTCGCCCAGGCCAACCTCGGGCGGGAGGTTTTATAAGCTCAAAGGCTTGCCGGCCGAATATTCCGCAGACCCGGTGAAGTATCTGTGCATCCAGGTTGATCCTACGGAGCGGAATAACCAGCTGAATGTCAGCGAGGCGATCCTTGCTCGCGATATGGATGTGGCACGATTTTACAAACCTCAGGTATCACTTCGGGCGATGCTCGACGCTGCGACCATTGTGGATCTCGAATGGAAGGAACTGGCTCGCGAGAAGGCTTTCGCTCGCGAGGAGCCTCTGACCCTCGAATGGATGCGCGACAACATCATCCAGGTTAAATTACTCCCGCATGACCGCCAGGACGAGAAGAAAAAGAAGCAGAAGCAGCTGCAGCAGCGGTGGCGGCGGCGGTGAGTGACTTCCGCTGCCCCGATTTTGTCCTGCGCCATCTTGTGGTCCTGGTTTTCTGCTAGGCCTTACACATTTGCCATGATCATGAGCCATAACTCATCACTCACCCACCCATCCACCCACCTCTTGGCCCATGGCGACCCTGTATATATATGTATATTGAGCCATAATTGTAAATAGATTCTTAAATATAGATATAGAGCGGAAGATAAAGACAACAACACTGGGGAATCTGTGAAAGTGCAATCCAGGGCAAGAAAACAAGAATTTCTAAATGCCATACTGAATCTATAACCAAGTGGGTTCCAGCCAAATGCAATTGATGATCTGCAGCACGATGCCACCCCACCCAGCCCCCCTCCAACGTCACCAAGTTCCAAGCAAAGAAATATCAATCATTTTCATCACATGCATACACATAATCATTAGTAGGTCATTTGGGTTAAAGGGAGGGGTGCAATCGGTACGAGTGTAGTGGGAACGACTGCGGTCTAATATATCCCGCCCAGCTCGGCCCTGGATGGAGAAGGATAGACATGTGAGGGAGGGAGCAATCGTGTCTTTGGGGTAGGCTCCTTTGAAAACTGCCTGTGTCCACTTCTTCGCCCTGACCAGGTGGCCACCTACCACCTACCACCCCCCACTGCCATTCTCATGCAGCAAGGCCGGTTCCGGCGCCGCCAGCGCCCCCGTCATCTCCGCCCCTCCTCCTACCCCTCGTGATGGGTCACCACCACCACCGGGCAGAGGAAGGGGATACGGCGGACCCGAGGCCGGCGCCGCCCCAGCCCCATAAGGATCGAGCGTGGTGCGCATCGACCCCACGCCTTCCTTGAGATATAACACCAGCCGATAGGCCGAGTTCCCGTTCAGATAATACCGATGGAGCCGCTTGCTGCGCAGGAATCCCAGCCGTTCGTAGAGCTTGATGGCGGCCGTGTTGGTGATTTCGGTTTCGAGGACGATCTGTTCGCGGTGGGTTTGTGTTAGCTTGAGCTGAAGCTTGTTTAAGCGGGGGGGGTGGAAGGCAAGGCTGAGATAGGAAGAAAGAACACACCTCGTCCGCATCCCGTTCAATCATCGCATCGATTGCCATCCGAGCTAGCTTGGTCGCGATGCCCCGGCCTCGGTACTCCTCCTTCACGGCTAGCATGGCGATGTAGCCGCGCAGAGGTCCGCCGCGGTGGGGTTCGAGTTTCGAGACGACGACGCCGACCATGCGCGGTTGCTGCTGCTGCTGCTGCGGGGATGAGGATGCTGTTGTTTCGGACGCGGGGGAGGCGGATGAAGAGGCGGAGTCGTCCATGGCCATGAAGCATAGGTCTCCCCATTGGTAGAGGAAGTAGCGGTAGACGTAGATGCTGTAGGGCTCCGAGAGGTCTTTGGAGATTAGTTGGCGCATGGCCGGGACGTATTCGTCTTCGCGGGCGCCATCGTAGCGGACGTAGCGGAGGGGGGTGTGGGTATTAGTTGTTGTTGCGGTGGTGGTGGGGTTTGTGGGAGTTGTGGTGGAGGTGGTGGTGGTTGTTGATGGTGTTGGTGCTGTTGTTGTTGTTGTTGTTGGTGCTGCTGCTGCTGCTGCTGTGGCGGTTGAAGACAATGCGGGGGGTGGATTCGGGTTCATTGGAGCGGTAAAGGAATTGGCATTGGAGGGTAGCAATGCGAATTGATTCAGGAACAGAGACGTGGAATGGTCAGGTATGTGCTGGTTGGGTGGATATGCAGTAGATAGACAGATAGGCAGACAGACACAAGTTACACCTTCAATCGGAGATGGAGAGAACCGAGAAGGGAGAGAAAGAGAAAAGGAAGAAAAGAAGAAGAAGAAGTTCGGGATGACGTCCGATTCCCGCTCCGTTTCTTTCTTTGCTCTCTCTCTCTCTCTCTCTCTCCTTCCCCAACATGTGATTTTCAACCTTTTTCCATCCGCGGCTTTTCTTCCCCCTCCCTTTTTTTTTCTTTTCCTATCTCGCTGATCTGTTTTCTTTGTGTCGGGTTCTCTTGATCTTGGATCTGGCTTTCTGGGTGCTATTTTATCTATGCCATTGCTCCTCGGAGATATCTGAGTTGTTGCACGGAGCTTTTTCTGACCTTGTAATCCGGCGGTGATGCTCCGGCGTCGCGTGGGCAAGGAAGAGGAGGAGGAGCCCAACCACAACCTTAACCACAACCATGAGGTGCAGCCCTCCTCCGATTCCTCCTCCCGCGACAATTCCCAGTCCAAGTCCCAGTCCAAGTCCAAGTCCGATACCGACTCGCCTGCAGCTGCCCGTCCCTCCCATTCCAAACGATCCGAGTCCTTCATCCACAAGCCGCGCAGTAAACGTCGCAATGGATTGATCTTCGCGCTGGGCGGCCTTTTCGGAGTTCTGGTCGCCGTGCTCTTCGCCAACCAACAGGATGTCATCAGTTTAGACAGTTTAATGGATTTCAACATCGAGTCCCTGATGGAGGTGATGCCGCATGGGTTCTTGAACGATGCGAGAGAATTCACCGTAAGTTATCTTCCTTGTCGGCGCCCTTCGGAGAAATGTGGGCGGGCAGATAATGCAAACATGCTTCGTGCATGCAGTGAACCTCAATAAGATGATTGCTGACCGAGATGGGACTATCTATATAGCAACATGAGCGCGACACAGTCAACTACGATCCTTTCTCCGTCGGACTACACCTGCAGGCGCAAGGTTTCCAGGCGAAACACCCGATGGTCATGATCCCCGGGGTGATCTCCACCGGTCTGGAGAGTTGGGGCACCGAACCCGCGTCCCGACAGTACTTCCGCAAGAGACTCTGGGGCAGTTGGAGCATGATGCGGGCGCTGGTGCTCGACAAACCGGGGTGGAAGAACCATATTATGCTGGACAAGGACACCGGGCTCGACCCCCCGGGGATCAAATTGCGCGCGGCGCAGGGTTTCGACGCGACCGACTTCTTCATCACGGGCTACTGGATCTGGAACAAGATCCTCGAGAACCTGGCGACCATCGGCTACGACCCCACCAATGCGTTTACGGCGGCCTACGACTGGCGGCTCTCGTACCCGAACATGGAGGTCCGGGACCAGTACTTCAGCCGCCTGAAGTCGTACATCGAGACGGCCGTGCAGGTCCAGGGCGAGAAGGTCACCCTCGCCTCCCACAGTATGGGCTCCCAGGTCGTGCTCTACTTCTTCAAATGGGTCGAGAACCCCGAGCACGGCAAGGGCGGCTCGGACTGGGTCAACCGGCACGTCGCCAACTGGATCAACATCAGTGGCTGCATGCTCGGGGCTGTCAAGGGCCTCACGGCCGTCCTGTCCGGCGAGATGCGCGACACCGCCCAGCTGAACGCCTTCGCCGTCTACGGGCTGGAGAAGTTCCTGTCCAAGGAGGAGCGCGCCGAGATCTTCCGCGCCATGCCCGGCATCTCCAGCATGCTGCCCAAGGGCGGCGAGGCCGTCTGGGGCAACGCGACGTGGGCGCCCGACGACCAGCCGCACCAGAACCTCACCTACGGCAACCTGCTCAACTTCCGCGAGAGCGGCACCAGCCGCATCATCAAGAACATGACCATCACCGAGAGCCTGAACTACCTCCTCGACGAGGGCGAGGACTGGTACCGCCACCAGGTGCTGGCCAGCTACTCGCACGGCGTCGCCCACACCGCGCGCGAGGTTGAGGCCAACGAGCACAACCCGCGCACCTGGCTGAACCCGCTCGAGGCCCGCCTCCCGCTCGCCCCGGACATGAAGATCTACTGCTTCTACGGGGTGGGCAAGCCCACCGAGCGGAGCTACTTCTACCAGGAGGAGCGCGACCCCCTCGTCAACCTCAACGTCAGCATCGACACCACCGTCACCAACAACGACGGCGTCGACCACGGCGTCCACATGGGCGAAGGCGACGGCACCGTCAACCTGCTGAGCACCGGCTACATGTGCGCCAAGGGCTGGCACATCAAGCGGTATAACCCCGCCGGGGTGAAGATCAAGGTCTTTGAGATGCCCCATGAGCCGGACCGCTTCTCGCCCAGAGGTGGGCCTAACACGGGTTCGTTCCTTCCTTTCCTGTTCCTCATCTGGAAACCCTGACACAATCACTCCCCATTTGAGACCCGCCCCCCGCCCCACGGGCACCTCCGCACATCACCAACCCATCCATGTCCCTCCCTCAAACAAGTCACTCAACCCATCTAACACCATAGAAAAATAGGAGACCACGTCGACATCCTCGGCCGCGCCTCCCTCAACGACCTCATCCTCCGCGTGGCCGCCGGCCAAGGCGATCACATCGAAGAGACCTACGTCTCCAACATCCGTGAATACGCCGAGCGAGTCCAAATTTTCGATGATGAATGAACAATAGACATATGTGCACAAATGAACAACCCCCCAATCCCCCCTTTACCAAGATAAAATGGACTATAACAATCAACCACCTCTTCCTGCCACCCATTTCATGTCCTCGAAAATGTTCATATAGACCACTTTTCGTTCGCCCGGGTGCTGCGGTTAGTTACACTTGAAGAGCAAAAGAAGGGCGAGTCGAGCTGTAAGCCGCCTTATTCTCTCTTTTTCTTCTAGGTCTAGGCTTCGTATCCATGCCTTCATCAGAACCGATGACTATAACTAGCATATAGCGGCGCGTCCAGAGGGTTTGATTATCTAATCAATAACGCTTTGTCTCAAGAAACGTCACGTGACAGGCATGTCCCTTGGATGACCGAGTATGTCAGAGGACGCTGAAAATTACCACGTAACTAACTGCTAGACCATTTACAGTGGAGAGAGAAAAAGATTCTTGTGATGATATTTCCAGGTTTTTTTTGTAAATCCGGAAATTCAAGGTATGTTTCCATTTCCCAGATTTCATATGGTTGGTATGAAAGTAGTTAATCTAACTTACAGTCAAGGACAAAATGAAAGGTGAGAAAGACACATAAGCCGGCGGGACCACCGTAGGCAAGAAAAAAAAAGGAAGAGGATAAACAGGGCGTAAGGGGGAGAGTATCACGTTTTTTTCTCAATTTCCCTCAATGCGAGATGAAGGGTGATGATGGACATTCAGGGTGAAAAGGTCATAGAAGAAGAAAAGATAAACATGGTATAATGTACAACCAAGAGCAGTCAAACCTCGCAGCCGAAAACGCGCCACAATGGCTTGAAGTGCCTGACTCCGGTCGTGGAAAGAACAAATGACTCGTAGAATCTGTTCGACCAGAGTAGAACAATGCAAGAAAAATCGAAGAATCGAACCGAATGAAGACAAAGGTATTAACATGACCGGGAGTCAAGCAGAAAACGGACAAAAAGGAAAGTGCCAGTATCCTAACTCAGCCAGGGTCAAATAAGAAGGGGAAAAAACAATCTATGAGGAACATTGCCAGATAAAATGCCCAAATCCGAAGAAGATAGGTGAAAGATCAAGGAGACGCAAAGGCAGAAACGAGGCACAAAACTCGTGCAAAGGCGGAAAATAAACATTCATAATTGTCGTGACTCCTGACTCCGGGGATTTCCATCCAAGAGGATCCCTGGAGCAGTAAGGTGGAATAAAATCAGCCCAGTGAATGTTTTCATTCAGAACGAGGCCGTTTTGGAGGAAAGAGGATTGTCGAGTGAAACAAAAGGAAGAGTCCCATATCACAGGAGGCAATGGGCAGAGATGAGGATGGATGCGATCATCGACGCCCGAGCTGGACACTTTTTTTCGATTTTTGCTTTTGAGGCAAAGCCAGGAAGATTGACGGCGGGTACTTTTCAACGGATAACACAATCGAAACCGACTCGAGGAAAACGGGTAGTCATGCAAGGAACACGAATGGAACACGGTATCATTAGCGGAAATTTTGGACGATGCGAATAAGATGGTCTAGTGGGAAGACGAGGTCGAAGATAGTCGAATTAGGAAACAAATAACTTTTTTCCCCAGCACGATGACGCTTAACGGGTGAGAGTCGTGGCACCACTAAGCGACAATCGGTTGCATCGAGCCGAAGGGATTGGCGCACATGTAGTGCTCCGCAGGCTTGATGCAATAGAGACAGCCGCACGACGAGCCATGGCCAGTCCACACACTTTGCGCGAAAGGCAGAGCGTAGGCCGGAGTGTGATGGTACGACGGCGGCTGCGATGGAGGCGCTGTAGGGATGTACTGTTGTGGAGTGGGCACCCAAGTACGCGTGTACGGCGGAGGTGGGTTGGTGTACGCCCAAGGCCCAACAGCAAAGTAGTCCGGTGTGTTGGGGCCACTGTGCGGCGCGGACGGGGGCGAATATTCAGAGGCGGTCGGGTTAAGCCACGAGTTTTCGAAGGTGGAACTGCGCTGGTACTGCGGAGGGATGGGACCTTCGGGGGAGAGCAGCGGTTTCGAGACACGATGGGGCCGGGAAACGTTCGTGTCGATGGGTGCCAGAGCGTGGCGAGACTCCTGGGCACGGGCGGCCGTCTTGGCACGCCAGTTTTCCCAGTGCTTGAGCCATGTAGCAAAACCATCCTGCTTGTCGTGGATGCGCTCGTGGATTTTCCACTCGAAAGCAAAGAGCCAGTCCAATTCCATCGAGTTCAACTCGCTGACTGGAATGTTGCTAACCTCAGCCCACGACTTGTTCTGGAAGGTGTTGTCGTCCAAGAACTTGCTTCCCAGAAGGAGAGCAACAGTGAGCATCCGGTAGACCTGGCCGCTTCCAGAGTGGAACACCTTGGCCGAAGAGAGCATGCGCATCCGACTCGCGAGGTAGTAGAGACCCAGGAGAATGGTCGAGCTCGGGAGCCGAGTCGACGACAAGATCTGGTAGACGTATTTTCGGAACTGGGGGGTGACCGACGATCCTGGGTAGACGCTTCGCGCTAAGTCAATATCTGCAAGGTTGATCTTGGTGATGTACAAAGCATACATTCCCTGGGCCATTTCAGCCACGTAGTCGGACATCTGGTCCATCTCATAGTCCAGATGCGCCGCGACGCCTCCAGTAGCCTTTTCCTCCTTGCGCGGTTGCTCTTGCACCATCATGTCCTGGCGACGGTAATGGGGCGCGATGCCGTTGTCCATCGGGGGCAGCTGAACGTTGTTGCGGAGCGGCGGCAGAACATTGGCGGTGGCCATGGCGCCGTACATGGGCTGGTTCATCGCAGAGTGGGCGGCATTCATCTCGCGGCCGTTGCGTACTCCAACCCGGGATTGAGCGTTCATGTTGACAGCCGACTTGGGATAGCAATTGGCCTGGGAATACTGCTCGATGAACTCGCAGCCGTTCTGGGAGTACCGAGGCGGGAATGCAGCGGAGGGGCCCAGGACGTAGAAAGGTTGCTCGTGCTCCATGCGGCCACCACTCACGATGTGAGGCGGGGTCGGAGGAAGGCCCTGCAGGCTAGGGGTGTAGAAGGATGGCATGACGAAGTGAGAAGGAAGAGGTTGACACCAGTTCAGGTGGGGGAAGGTAGACTAGGTGGCTGTATCCAGGCGCTGTGTTAGCACACACCTTGGCTCCGATAGCAAGCAGGGAAACCCAATGAGCAACAAACAATCAAGACCGCAAGGAACTCAAGATACGAACCGTCTACACGTCCGCCACGCCCTGATCCTGGGTGGGGGAAAGAAGAAGGGGGAGCGGTTGCTCGGCGAGCCGCGGCTCTGTGCTTGTGGTATGGAAGGTGTTGTTTAGTTGAATGACATGAGAAGTATGGCGGTCTTCACAACACGGGGCAGATAAAGCAGCGAGACGATCGTGGATGAATTGATGCGCGCGATTGCTCTGAGAGTTGCTACCGCACGAGTTTGGTGATCGATGTGAAGGCGTGAGACTCTCAGAAGGGGGTTGGCAGAGCGGACAATTGATCAAGCACGAGGAAGTCAACAAAACAGACGAGCTAGTCGATCGCTAGTTGATTCTTTTTTCTTGTAGCCGAACGAGTAGAACGAATAACCGATGGGGTCAAGGGATGTGTTAGGGGGTGCGGATGGGGAAGGGGACGGTGGAGATCTTTTTAAAGTGTTTTTGCGCTTTTTCGAAAAGAAAATATGAACGACAAACACCAGTTCTCGCGTCAAAGGGAGTAGTCCCAGTCCACGGTGACAACGATACTTAGTGAAAAGCTCGTTGAAATATAAGATAGGAGGAAATGGAGATTTTCGCAAAGTGGACAAAAAGAGGAGGGAGGGAAGAGGAGAATATAGGTTGAATGATGTAAAGAGAAGAGAAGGAAAAAGGAGGAGGAGGAGGGATGAGGAGAAGAGTCAAAGGAGAGGGGAGGAGGGATGGGGGGAAGTAGAAGAGGAGAGCAAAAGAGAGAGAGAGTGCGCGAATACAGACGTAGTAAGAAAAAAAAAGCAGCAGCAGCAGCGGAGAACGAGGGAGAAAAGAGAAGAGCAAAGCAATTGACTGGGACTAGGCTAGGTAGGCTAGGCTCGTTCGTAGTGGTCAAGAGGGTCTCAAGAGGTGTCAGAGGCGGCGGCGGCGGCGGTCGTTTGGGGGGCACGGCGAGTCTGGGAGGGTGGAAAAGTCACTGAGAAAGTGACGATCCCCGGCTCAACTGGCCTTGTACTGACTAACCTCTTTCTTTTTTTGTCTCTGGGAATTTTTTTTTATTTTATTTTTCCATTGGGTAGATCAAATTAATTACCCTTTCCTCTCAACAGACAGTAAGAAAGAGAGAGAGGGCAGTGGGTAACTTAAAGGTAAGTGAAACGGGAAAGGAAATGCAGAAGGGGCTTGGTATGGTAAGAGAGTCGTAAGCCAATGTGATTTCGCCCCGGGTGGGGATTTTACCGATGGTTCATTCAATCATCTTTGCCCATTGTATTAGATAAGTGGTTTTTCTACCGCTCAGAAGTTGTTTTCTGCTACAAGTTGTCCCCTCAGGCAGCAGCAGCAGCAGCAGCAGCAGCAGCAGCATCAAACCTGATGATAAGTTTTGATAGTCTTCAATATAATTCAATCGGATGCCTTACTGCCATCTAAAGACATGAATCTAATTACTGAAACCAACAGTAATGGTGGGCCATCCAGAATCCATACATGACCAACCGGTACCACATCTTGCCCCTAAAAAGTCCGTAGGGATTCTCCGTAGGGGTTCGGATTCCTTTACAATGGATGGATGGCCTTTCCTCGTCAACAGTAGCAGCATCATCGCCCGCCAGAGATCCCCAGTCTCCAAACTCAGTACGTAGACCCCCCATAAAAGTCAAACCATTAATAAGAGACCAGCCGCAGCATCCGAGCAGATGGGACTCGAATCATCTCCATTAAACTAACTTAACTAACTTAACTAATGCTTCACATGGGGTGATCGTTTAGAGTTTTCAGAAATTTCAATGGCTATGATGGATGGGGGAGACTAGGAGACTAGGAGACTACTGTGTAAAGCCAGGAATAATCTTAGTCGGAGGAGTTGACGATGTTCCCGTTCGTGCTCCATCAAGCCCCCATCGTTGTTCTGGTTGGTTGGTCTGTTGGTGTTTTAAGGGGGGAAAGGGAATGAACCTTTGCAAGAGGAGAGAAAAGGTTAGTCAGAATGGATCCATGATGGGAATGAATGAGAAAGAAAGGGAAAAATTCAGAAGTTCCTTTTTTTTCCCACTCTTCACCGTAACACTGGAGTCACTGGGCAGGCTAAGACAGAGGCTAGAACAGTAAGAGAATACCCATATCCATGGGTAGGGGCCCTCTTTCGACCGTCGGCACCGAAAAAAAGACTGGAACGAGGGTAAGGGCCTTTTCCTGTCTAGTATGAATTAATGATGATGAAGAGGAGAATGAGATGAGGAGGTGCAGTAGAATTAATCCTGTGATCCTCTGGCTTACCGTTTTTAATTTAAGAAAATATTACCTATCTCTCGCCGACACCCGCATTGGGACCAATGTCGAGGTTTCAATGAGGTAGGGTTACCGTTCAATAAACAAATCGATCTTTGACCTGCCACCACCACCACCGTCTTTCCCCCCAAGCTGGGAATGATACTCCGAGGTTCCTTGGCCATAGCAGTAAGAGTGAACGAAGTAAGACTAACCTGTACAGTAAATTTGATTCACTTGCAGTGCCTGCCGCCCGCCTGACTGACCGGCAGTGCTATCCAATAATAAGCTGCACGACCAGACCGGGCCAAACTGCACAACCACCCCTTCTACTCACTGGCAGTAAGCTCCAGCGGTTGGCGGTGGGCAGTCTCGGCGGAGCCAAACGGTTCAGTTTTAGTCGGGGTTAGTTAACTACATAGTAACTTAAGGTGGATGTTGAGTTTAGTCAGTCAGTCACTGCAAGTTAGTTAACTAGACTGAGTACCAGACTACCAGTTACCCTAGGACTCTAGGGGTTCGAGAGGCAGGCTCGAACGGCCAACCCAGAAGGCATCGGCACTTGGGGTTGGTCACCGCAGGAGTGACCCATTTATTACTACTTCCAGGGCGCTTAGCGGCGGCCGGTCTGCTTAATTGCAAGAGCTAAGAGGAGGACGGCCATGGGATGGAGGGAAGGAGAAAATTCCTCGAACCCACCACCACATGTTGGCATCTCTCGAACCAGGGTGGGTGATTCAACCATTTAACAACAGCTACTAGATTATGGACATTGGCGGTAATTTTTTTTGAAGTCTGCAAAGTATACTGGATTGTTATGTCGTCTCACAAGGCCACCTTTCATCATCCTTCCCACCGTTGTTTTATCCACTGACACAGTCGTTCACCAAGCAAAAGTAGATTGAATCTAACTAACACAAAAACAAAATAATAATAGGAGGCCTGGGTGACGATGCCGGCCTCCAATCATTCCCAGACGGGGCAACGTCCTACGATCCATTGGCCTGGTGGAACAGGCGGCGGTACAGAGTACGTGTACTATGTACGGAGTACTGTACTATGTATGTGTATGTAGAGGGCGAACAGTCAATGAAAGTCCTGGTCGACTTAAGGTTCAGAAATTCACAGGATCATCGAAACTGATAACATTAGAGAGAGCAATGCAGCGCAGGTGCCTAGCCATGGCCAGTTCATAAGCCAGACAGGATACCAACAGGAGCATTTCCGTCACATCTTGTCTATCGGAGGCAAAAAATTGAAGTCACACCTCGAAAAGAGGGCGAAGAGCAACAGGAAAGGAGCGGCCGAGAAGCGCTAGTGGTACGGCTCGACAAATGACTGGGCCGTGCGCCCCCGTGCTAATTTATCAAATGATGGGCAAAGGAAGAAGCCAGAAACAAAAAAAAAAAAATAGAAGGAATTTAAAAACTAAACAGGGAAAGAAAAAACGTGTCGTGGACAGGACTAAGAAAGTTGACTAAGATAAAATGGGTTCATGGAGATTGAGTCTTTCACACCAAAAGTGTGGCTTGGCTTGTTGGTCGCATAAGGTGGATTATCTAATCCATTCTGGTTGGATATTTATAACTTTTTTCCAAAGGCCCCCGCCCAGTCACCGTGTATCCGAAAAGGGGCAGGCGGAGGCAACATTGATTCAATCATTCAATCATCGGTCAATCATGGATCCATCATGGATCGTGGTACTAATTGGGTCAGTCATCAAAATGGATCTAGATGGATGAGTGGATGGATGGATGGATCATGGGGTGAGAAAAAAGAGGGGGCAGCAGCAGCAGCATCCAGCTCTACGTCTACCGTAGTCTAGTCAGTCTAGAAGGGATGGAATAGCGAAGAAGGGCATGATCTCAGGGGAGGAAACCTCATCATCACCAGTATGGTCGCGACAAGTCAACGGTGGCGATGGGTGATCTCAAGGCGGAGCCCATGACACCATGCCATGCCATGCCAGGTCCTGCCCTGCCCTTTTGCCCTTGCCCTGTGTCACTTCTGGCTCATGAACCCTGAAGGTCTGGAAGCCTGGGTCTTCCTAGACTGCCTGGACTGTCTGGACTGCCTCATTTTCACCATGATGGTCGAGGTCGATCGCTGTAGGTCACCACACATGCATCAGCAGGTCCTCTACATACGATACTTACTGTAAGCTGTATCTTTCCGGACAGGCTAGCAGCAGGGAAAAGGCATCAATCATCATCATCATTGTACATATTTGACTGCCAATACTCGGCAGTCACCTTTCAGGTAGAATCGGTAGAACCTTGAGACGAACCGACACATTCCAGCTCCTTCCATTCTGTCGACATTCCTGCCTGTTGCTGCAGCTCAGCCATCATCAAACATCAACCCAATCAATGATGGGTTATTGAGTCCCAATATCCTGTTGGTAGAGGTGACAGATCTGGTATACGTACAGTAAGTACATACTCATAGTGGTAAAGAGGGGGGGAGAGCATGTGCCTGATCTCCCTGTGGCTCGGAGGCTGGCCAGAGGAATCATCTCATCAGCATCGTCGTCGTCACCTGAAGCGTTGCGGCTGTTACCTACCTTCATTGCTCTCTTGGTGACTCAGAGCTGCATCGAAATGCATCCAATCAACGCTGGGAGGGGTGTCGGACAGGCTGAGTGATTTTCATTAGTTGGTGAGGTGACCGGTGCAGTTGTTGCTTACAAAAGACCTATTCAAGCTGCATTTAGATAACTAACTAGGGCTACGACTCAAGGTGGTGGTGGGATGCTCAGCCGGTCTCAACCAGGCTACCACGGTAATAATAATAGCTCCAGCAGTAAGCATGGCGGTTTGTCGGCGGGGTAGGTTGATATTCTGGAAAACAGCCAGTCCCTGGTTGCTATCGCAATCATGGCGCCAGTCACCTTCCACCTCCTGCAGGCACATCGAGATACAGTACAACGAGATCTACGACTGGGCTTATGGATAAAGAACATAAACCACAACAATCTATTGTAGCTAAAACTCGAGACCTCGGGAATTGAGGCATTTCGAGGAGGATCTGATTCTCTCTTCTATGGAACAGCCCAATTGTGTTGTGTCTTACCCGACCGGAGGATGATCCATCACAAACCATCACCATCAATATATGTAATTGTACGGAGTATACGTGCCCGGCTGGCTGTTGTACCACCCTCCTTCTACGCCCATCATTCTATCAATGCCACCACCGATCCAATCCAAGACAAACCCCCAGTAGTAATATCAAGAAGCAAATAACACCCCCAAGTAGAACTCAACAATGGTCCTGAGTATTTCGCCCGCCCAAGCAACTAACCTCGATCGATCTCCATCTTTCATCCTGTCGAATCTGAGCTTGCCGTGCCAAACCCTCTCACGCTTCACCCCACTCCATCTGCACACAGCAAGATCGAGTAATGGTGAGTGGGGGTGGGCAGAGAGGTAGTCTTTGCCTTCAGTCTCTCTATCGTTGCTTCACTCTCAAGCCCGGGAGGGAGTGAATGCCCTGCCTGCCCATCTGACCAGCCATCGCTGCCCGAAGGGCCCCGTCCTAGAGAAGTTTAATCATCACGATAATCCCGCATGTCGCGTATGCAAGCCCTCCAATCCTTCGCGATAGTGATACCTCCCCATCGTCTCTGTCACTCTTCGGGAGAGCGCTTGCCCCCCCCCTCCCGCCTTCCCTTCTTCGTTTCTTTCCGATTTCCCAGCTCTATCTTCCGATATCGCCATTTGCCCCCCTCTGTTTGGAGAAGCAGGAGGGCTCAGATCGGCTGTATCGGTCATCCTTACCTGGCAACTGACACGGACACTGACAATTGACAGTTGACACTGATGACCCTGAGCCGGACAGACGGATATGCAAGAAGCACTGACTTGACTGCCTCTGTCTATCTGCTTCTTTCGCCTTGCTTTGAGGTGAGCCCCCCGCCGTGCCTGTTTGACACCTTGACATTTGATGCCGCCGCACCGCTCACCACCTACCATCTGTTCGCATTCGCACTGTGCCTGCCTGCCTACCTGCCAGGTCAAGCTTAACTATACCGATCATAATATCCGATTCCCTATGAATTATCCTATTCGTCCTATCGTCTCTGCTCCCCTCCATACGCTGAAAGGATTGACGAGAAGCCCCTCCTTTCCGCCAGCATCTTGATAGAATGAGAACCTCTACATTCTCCATATGGAGTTCTGCATCCAACCCTCAATTACCCGCCCACGACCCCTCATCCCCTAAACTCCCCCATCCCCACCAACCACACTAATGTAATCGGATAGGAACAAGAAACAAAAAAAAACAGGAACAGGCACAGGAACAAGAACCTCAACCCTCAACCCTCAACCCTCAACCCTCAACCCTCAACCCTCAAACCCCTCCTCCTCTCCCTTCCCGTCCATTGCCCTATTGACCCATTGTCCCCTCCTATAGACTCTCTCTAGAGCAGTAAGTATATCCCTCAAAATCTATTCTCGGGTCAACACGGATTCTTCTACGAGGAGGAAGGTCAAAGCCATCATCGTCACTACCTAGTACCAACCTATCTACGTTGAACGAATTCCAGAGACTCCGTATGGATAACCTACCCAGGGCGGACTCTATTCCCTGGCTCTCCACCCCACGACCAGACAAAAACAAAACCAAACAATAAACATTTCCGCCCTCCTCCACTACAGTACAGTTATACAACGGAATGAAAATATACATCGATGAATCCAATCCACGAACCGGCCGAGAATACTCCTAATGCCCCGGAGCTGGAAACAGTAACAGTCCTCACTTACCTACCCAGGTAGCCATTCTGAAGTCAGCTATACTGAATCCCGTAATTGTATACCATGTACAACTCACGACTACAACTACAACTACAACTACAACCACAAGTTCACTACTATACCAAAGTAAGACCAAAAGAAGGGGGATGGCGGGGGATGGGGGCACGATCCTCCCCACCCACGCTCCCCCCCCCCACCGGCAACAATGAAACAACGCAACAATAAAAAAAAAAAAACAACAACGGGAATGTCAGTCGGGAGTTTCGGATACGAGAGCGGATGGGCAAAACAGAAACCAAAAAAAAAGAAAAAAGAAAAAAACATTCCTACTTGACAATTGCAACTTCTCGTTATTCCATCCACTCCCAAAATGCGGCAGAAATGCAGAGAAGGGGGGTGAGTGAGGGGTTCTGTTTATCGGTCAGGTACCGGGCGCCGGAACAACCAACCCCCTCCCTCATCGTAGAAACTTTCTCACCACATGTGTATGCGTGTGTGTGTGTGTGTGTGTGTGTGTCATTCTGACATCTACTTTGTACCCTCATGCATCTCCATCATCATCCATCCTATTCAGATTTCGGAAAGATGCATCAGAAGAAAAAGCAGGTTTTAGGATCCTTGATCTGACTGTTAGTTCGACATTTAATGATTTAGAAATTGCGCTGTGAGTCATTTAGGCCCATCGTGATTGATCCGAGCACAGAGACGGACACATAGACAAGACAAGACAAATAGCACCATGTAATGCAAGATCGTAATCTTTCGTTCTTTTCTAGCTACTACGATCATGCATCACGATCCCCTCCTTCTCCCCCTCCATCCCGGGATCTTACCTCCCCCGACTGATTCCGGCTCCAGCTCGTGGAGGATGAGGGGGCAGGAAGAACTGGATGTCATCACCCAGTCCCGGAGATTTCCGGCTGCAATGTCGAGAATAAGTGGAAAGAATGGACACGTTGATGTGGTGAAGCAATAAGATCAAGGAGGTAGACGGTAGACAGGTAGGTATGTATGTATGTATGTAGCGCCATCCTCAAAAACGTGAGACAGGACTCTTGGGGTCCCAGAACAGAGTGGATATCATTGATAAATCAACCAGTCAGTGATAAACGGGGTGTGTGGAAACATGGAAGGTAGGAGAAGCAAAAGTTATGAGGATGTTCAGCAAGAAAGTAACAAAACGTCAGAGAAAATAGATCGTATCATGAATGCTTCGAGTTTCTCATGCTCATTAGAACCGAATTGACGAAGGGGAACGAGGATCAGCTTTTCGCGCTTGCGCTCTGATACCGTTTCCCTCTTCCCTTTAAACACTTTGAACACCAGATCCGAATTGAAGTCGGTTCGCCATGTGCCAACTGCATGCAGATTAGACAGGACAATCCATAAAAAGCAAGGTGGTAGAATGCAGAATCCCAAGTCGTAAAATTCGTCAAGCCAAGGCCATCAAGGTTCTTCGTCACCTGAATGCCAGTCAATGCCCACTGGTCACAATTCCTACTCCCCCTTCAGGCTTCCGATCAGATTACGGAGGGCATCTACAATGACCTCCTCATCTTTCGGTTCACCGCCGGGGAATGAGCTGTCCGTTGCGTTGCCGAGTACACGGGCTCGCGCACTCTTGAGCACCTCCCGGATGTAGTTCTTATCCTCGTAATCCTCCATGAGAACAGCCTCGAAATCGTCGATGGCCTTGTTTGCACGATCATTGAATGAGGATGCGTCCGAAGAATCCATATGAGCTGGACCGGGGCCAGGGACCATACCCATGTTTGGCTGATGCTGCATGGGAGGCCCCGGGGGTGGCCCCGGGGGTGGCGGGGGCGGAGGATGCGTTTGATGTGTTTGATGCGCTGGATGTGGCGCATTGGACGGAGGCATTGGTGGAGGATTTGGCGGAGGGTAAGGTGACTGATGTTGGGGTTGTGGAGGCATTGATTGCGATTGCTGTTGCTGCAGCTGCACCAGCTGCGGCGGCGGATCGGATGCATACGGTGAGGTGTAGGTGGAAGGAGTGGTCTGAGCGAAGGCGGGCGGAAGGTTGTTGCGGAGCGGACTGGGTATTGGAAACGGGGTCGAGGCGGCGGGTTGAGGAGGCGGGGGATAGGGACTCGCGTGATGGGGTGCCGGAGGAGCAGGAGACGGAGCGGGAGCGGGAGCGTGGGTGTGAGTGTGAGTTGCATAAGGGTTGGATGGCATAGCAGGGAATTGGAAGTGCGCATTGGCCATGCTGGGCTGTCCATTTGGCTGAGTGCCATATGATGGATTCAATGCAGGCATGTACGAGGGAGGAGCGGGAGGCGGCGGCTGCGCCGCTGGCGGAGGAGGTGACGGGCGCCTCTTTTTCTCCTTCTCAACAGAAGCTCCAGGGCGGAGCTGCCAGGACCATCCCTTGCCATCCCGCTCAGCATGCATGAAAAGATGGCTGTTTCCGTTGAGGTTGTGCCGTACACTGGACGTCCAACCTTCGGTTTCGCACTTGAAACGGAAATATGGATATTTCAACTTCAACGCTCGATAGATCTGCTTAAGTGTCATCGGAGTACCAGCCTCGGTGAGAGCATCGAAGATGAGAACGGCATAGTTGTAAGGCGGCTTGGCCAGATCCTCCGGGGTATATGCTGACTCGGGAGGATAATTCGGAGATGGCGACCGCGAGGGTTTGCGCTTCTTGACAGGGGGCGCTTTGATGAACTCCTCCGGGCGATGTTCCATATGATACTGCCCACCTTCGGTGGAAGGTAGGGGAAAGTCCATGGGAGTGCCATCGGGCTTCTTTCTCTTGGTATACTTGCGTTTCTCAGGTTTTGACCCAGGTGACTCTCCGCCCATCTCCTTGGGCGTAACAGTCGCCGTTGTTGAGGCTGGAGCCTTGCCAGCTTTCGGCCGGCTCCCGGGCGGAGGAGTAACGCCTCCATTGGCCTCGCGCTTCGCTGCCAGTTTTTGTTCTCGAGCCAGTTCTGCTCTCTCTCGCTTGGACATGATGCCATCCTTAGGAGGACGCCCGGGACCGCGACGTCGGATTGGTTGTAACGCCGGATCGATAACTCCCTCTACAGAAGGCATTGGTCGCGCCGAGTCGGGCTCCCTGGTTTTTAGTATGAGTTTCGTTGGCGGTCTAGGCGCGTCCTTATTATCCGCAGATTCGGACGGACCCCTCTGCATCTCAACTTCGTCTTCAACGGCAGGAGCTGG